TCGAATGCGATTCGAAAATCACACTTCAAGGTAGGTTGTTGTAATCTATAGCACTAGTTAATAATGTTATTGTATAGCGTTATAATGTATAGCCCATAGGTTATATTGTTAGAGTTCACAAATTTAGAGTTTACTAACAATACTAGTTTACAGTAATTTTTAGATTACTGTATATGTGAATGTTTTTAAGTTACCATTGTTGAAGTTCATAATGTTAAAGTTCACAGTGTGAGAATTTACAATGTGAGAGTATATCCAAGACGTCGATCGATGGCGTTGGTCTGGTAGGTTCGTTCATAGTTTTTGATCAAAGACGTTATCCCATCACGGGACACCAACATGCTGCCGATATAACAGTAACAGAAGCAACTACAGCAGCTACGAAACCATTCGATGGCAAAGCAGCGACTTCTTCTTCAATCTGAGAGTTTGTGGCCGTGCCCTGTTCTCGTGGGGCCCGACACGGATTTGGAAATAATTGCTATGATCATGTCTGAGCTGGGATGAGCGACTAATGTTTACTTTGTTTAATCATAACTGTGTGCAGGGGCTTAGTGAATACTACTCATGAATGAACTCGTACTTCTTTCGGATTTAAATTGAAATCCTGTTGGTAGAACAAGTCGCCTGCCTTTTCTAGACGAATTGTTATCTTCAAGTGCGTCCGTAAATATACTGCTAAAATACACAGCATAGGGAAGGCTGCCTTGTTGGGGAGATGTAGTTTGGCTAAGGCGCTGTGGCCGGGTGATGACACGGATTCTGAATCAATGGAGTTAAACACTCGCTGCTTGTCCCCGTCGACAGCAGCGAAGGCTGTCAGATACAGCTCCATTTACGAGCTGGCTGTATGATGTGTATAGTTGAAGGTGCTCGGTGTTGTCTGTTTTTACGATTTGTCCATTGATGTTGTTTTTTTTATTGCGGCATTTTTTTATTGAGTTCCACCAATAACAGCAGCAACAACACATTTTGAGGGCGACGCAACTACTTCCGATTCTGCTGTTTCTGCTGTTCGACTATTTGTAGACAGGACCTGCTCTCGCGGGACCCCACACGTCTTTGGAAATGATTGCGATCATGTCTGAGCTGAGAATTAAGTGACTAAACGTTACTTTGTTTAACCATAACTGTGTGTAGGTTAGTGTCTGGGGGCTTAGCGAATACTACTCATGAATGAACTCGCACTCCTTTATGACCGACATTCTACTAATTTTGGTTGATCGAGACGAACAAGGCACGTGCCATGTCCAGAATAATTTTTATTACCAATATTGTCCTTAAATATGATGCTAAAATAAACATTAACACTGGATTAAACCTGCACCTCTTAACCGCTGCCTCGCATTTACGACTAACAATTTGCATTTTACACGTAACATGCAGTCAAGCACAGTAAAATGCTAATACGACAATATTGTTATTCTAGGAATTTAATATTGTTATTCTAGGAATTTAAATTCTAAAATGCTAATACGACAATATTGTTATTCTAGGAATTTAAATTCGATTCTAACCCTGCACCCCCAACAGTTCGCATATCCAACCCCCGGTTTAATGGAACGTTCGCTTTACATACATATGAGCAGAGTACGATTATAATACTTCTAATGAGATTTGAATACCGTACCTCAGTTTATGATGTAATGAATTAGGAAACCAGTCTATAGTCATTTAATGTTGAGTGGTATCGTTTATAGTGATACAGCTGAAGTCATAGAGATGAAACGGCCTAAGTGTGTAACGAATACAGATAGGGCGTCGCAGTTGGTTCGTCCACCCATCCCGCCTCAAGACGTATGTCCGTCCCCACCCAGACAGCTCATCCCCATGTCCTGTACAGCCCAAGTCTGGTGTGTCCAACGTGGTGGGGCGCTCGGCAACGGAAACCGTACTCCAAAGGAAATGTGTTGTGCCGCTCACAGTTTCCTAGCCCCTGAGGCCCGGGGTGCTTCAATGATCTCCCGCGTGTGAGGAATCGGTGCCTGGAGCCCAGTCATGTTTCTCAAAAGAAGCCAGGGACCTGCCTAACCCTTCAAGGCTGTGGTGCGAACCCTTGACTCCCCGAAAGGCACAAGATTCCACCATGGGCCTTTAACGCGGTTTTAGACCCCAGGCGTCACGATATAGCAACGACGACGACGAGACAGCAACCAGCCAACACAGCCCCAAACCTCGTTCCTCCCCCTCTCATTCTCGGCGTGAACCTCCGCCCATACTTGGTCTCGCCTTCCCTTCTCGATCTCTCTCTATCTTGTTGTCACCACTTGTCCCTTAGTTGACGCATTGTCTTTACATCACCCACCTCTATGACCTCTACCTGTCCCCGCCATGGGCGGAGCAACTTGGGGGATTTTCCCGGTGGCACCTGTAGGCAATACAACCATGCCCTGTCCCCCACTGCCCATTGAAGCACGTGCTCCCGCCGCCCCGAGTTCTTTTCATTCGCGGATTGCGCTCTGGTGGGGAAAGTTCCTCGTTATGAATCGTTTCGCAACGTTCAGGTCCAGAATACCGAAGTATACCGGGAATCGCCTGGACTTAAAAACATGTAAATTGATAACACTATAAACAATAACACTAAACATTAAACGACAAAAAAAATATCAACTGGTTTTATTATTTATAGCACCATAAACGGAGGTACGGTATTTAAATATCATTAGAAGTATTACAATCGCACTCCACACATATGTATGTAAAGTATCTGATCAATCGAACCGGGGGTTGGATATGTGAACTGTGGGGGGTAGAGGGCAAAAATCGCATTCAAATTTTAGATTAACAATATGGTCGTATTAGCATTTTACTGTGCTTGCATGTATGTTATGTGCAAATGCAAATCGTTAGTCGTAAATGCGAGGGAGGGGTTAAGAGGTGCACGTTTAATCCAGTGTTAACATTTATTTTAGCATCATATTTGAGGACACTGTTGTTGATAAAAATTCGTCTGGACATGTCATGTGACTTGTTCTACTCGATCAACCAAAATTAGTACAATGTCGGTCATAAAGGTGTGCGAGTTCATTCATGAGCAGTGTTCGCTGATCCCCGATGACACAGACCTATACACACAAACAAAGTACTCTTTATTAATTTAATTATCAGCTCAGACATCTTCATCTCAATCATTTCCAAAGACGTGTGGGGTCCCGCGAGAGCAGGGCCTGGCAACAAATATCTGAGCAGCGGAAGCAGCAGAATCAAAAGTAGCTGCGTCGCCCTCGAAATGTGATGTTGCTGCTGCTGCATTTGCTTCTGCGTCGATCAAGATTGACGCTCTTGATCAACTCTGACATTGTAGACTCTCACATGTTAAACTCTAACATAGTGAAATATAATATTATAACCTATGAACTACAACCTATCCATTGTAACGCTTTAAAATACGATTAACTGTTATAGCGCAGAACCACATAATTGGAGGTATGGGATTATAATCGCATACTAATCATTAGAATCGCACTGAGCTAATTAGAATCACACTGTGGTTGTACGTATGGTAAGTTAATATGCCAACCGGGGGTAGGATATGCAGGATTAGAATCGAATTACAATTATTCGAATCCCACTCGTATTAGAATCACACTTTCCACTGTTGGATGAATGTGTCGTATCAATGGAATCGAATAGCCATGTAAGTATATACAGTATACACAAATAAAGAGTATAACAATCACACATTGTAACATAGATACAATACACATTATTTAAAAAAACGTATTTAAAATATATATTCCACTTTTTTAAAAGTCAGAATGTCGTCGTTCATGTGGGGAGATGGAGCGCAGTGGATCGTATCGTCTAAGCTGCTTTTAGGAATCCGTGTGATAACCCAGTCACATCGCCTAACTCCAGTGACAGCACCTTACCCAAGCTACATCTCCCCAACAAGGCAGCCTTACCGCTGCTGTGTATTGTGTTTGTGGGATAACAGAGGTGTGTATTTTCCCATGCGCCTTGCCCAAAACGACTGATTGTCCGCTTAACAGCCTAGCCTGTAACCCACCATTGGTGATAGTGTTGTTTGAGAGCAGCTATTAAAGTCGTTTTGGCAAAGGAGGTGGTGGCGAGCCACACCATGCCTCGTGTTTGTCTCCGGAGTGATGACGGATACAAACCAGACCAAGCGGAGACCATGTACCAAATCGGATTTTGGTAACTGATGTTAGAGTGATTGTATTGCAAGTGTGCTCACTACGCGTCTGTATGTGCTCACTCCCGAAGCTCGGCGATTTTTGGCAACGCCACGGGGCTGCATTCACTTTAAATCGAAGACAATGGAGGGCATGGGGAGCGTGTTTTTCCATTTATTCAAAATAAGCGCATAATTATACACTGAGATGCACTTACATATTCATGCATGAAGCACAATGGGCACATTACCCTTCGGTATGTTAATAGACATGCGGATTGTGCCTTCCAAAATTAACAATCGAATGCAAATATCCTGAAAGACAAAGGATTGGATCCTCGGGGGGAGTTATAAGGCGGCTCAGGAGCAGAGCTCAATGCCATTTCGAGAGGGAACTTGATGAGGTTGGACGCTCGACTCGTCGCTCTGCTGATTGCCCTTCAACCGCGAGACAACGCAGCCTGGCGAGCACAATTGCTGTGTCGACAGTTAGGCGACTTTGCGTCGTGAGAGTTCGTGGCGACATCTTCAGACGGGTTACAGACATCGATATACCGTGAATCTCCAATAAGTGTCTATTTTCGCGGATGAACTCTTAAACGTTTTCGTCGTTAAATTAGCGGTATTTTTTTGCGTCTCGGTTAGACGCGAGTGTCGTTCTTGTTTTAGTAGTTAACAAAACTCAACGCTAAACATCCTTGCGGCCGGTAGCGTACTTTTGACTCGATAACACCACTGCTGTTACTACGCTCACATGGAGCAGAGACGCTCTCCACAGCCCCACGCACACGGAGACAAGAAGCCATTCAATTGCTCTGTGTGTGGTAAGTCCTTTTCACGGCCATCACATCTTCAGAGCCACCAGAGAACACACACGGGCGAGAAGCCGTTCCTGTGTTCTGTGTGTGGGAAGGCATTTGCACAATCGTCAACTCTTCAAACTCATCAGAGAACGCACACGGGCGAGAAGCCATTCGTGTGCCCTGTGTGTGGGAAGACATTTTCAAAGTCATCAAATCTTCATAGTCATCAGAGAACACACACGGGCGAGAAGCCATTCGTGTGCCCTGTGTGTGGGAAGACATTTTCAAAGTCATCAAATCTTCATAGTCATCAGAGAACACACACGGGCGAGAAGCCATTCCTGTGCCCTGTGTGTGGGAAGACATTTGCAGACTCATCAACTCTTCATAGTCATCAGAGAACACACACGGGCGAGAAGCCATTCCTGTGCCCTGTGTGTGGGAAGACATTTTCCAAGTCAACAAATCTTCATAGTCATCAGAGAACACACACGGGCGAGAAGCCATTCCTGTGCCCTGTGTGTGGGAAGACATTTGCAGACTCATCAACCAGGAACAGGCATCAGAAGGTCCACAATGATAGGAAACTGAAATCAAAAGCTGAAATTCAAGGTGCTGCAATGAGTTCTAAAGAAGTTTCCACCTCGATCCCATGCAGTTGGATCCCGAGAGATGGCTGGATGTAATGGAGTGGCTCGAGAGTCAACCAGAGAGCTCGGAGTGACTGAAAAAAAATTACGTCATGTGGTTATACCTTTTAAATCCGTATCGAGTACTTTTGTGTATAATTTTGACCATTTTAGTTTTACAGTTTTTGAGAGTTTAATGACGTGCACAGTGGTGGTTTGTAATGTTATCGGATTACTTGCCGAAGTGGTGTGATGAGCACTGGTTGTGAGAGGGTTCAATTGTAGTCGTTAAGTGTTCCTGTTGAGCTAAAGTTGGAATGCGTCTGTAGTTAGATCTTTACTCAACATTTTAAACGATTTTTTTTCAAGTATATAGCTGTATTAATCGACTTTAGATAGCTGTTTTCAGGATGTACATTGATGACGCGTTCGTTGGATATATGGCCTTGACTTCAACATAGACGCACAGTAAACAAATGTGGTGAACTAATAAGGAAATAATGGGGAATGATACTTTAACGCTTTGGTATTCCTGGAACGGATATGGTTTGCATTGTACTGGAAATGTGTGAACATAGGACATAATAAATATTCCATTCGAGTTTTGACCTAAAAATTATTGCAGATGAATAAAAACGATTTTTTAACAAATGTTTGTCCGGTCTTTATTTATAATGTTCCTAGCAAAAACATGTTAAGATAATTTCAAATGGAGTATCTCAGTCACACAAGTATGTCGGGGATAAACTGTTCTCTATAACATGTCAACTGTAATACTATGAACGATAATACTAAACGTTAAACGAGTATAAACTAGTGTTTCAATTTATAACCATTTAAACGGAGCTAAGGTATTATAATATAATTAGAAGCATTAGAATCACAGTGTGGTCGTATAAGAATCGCTAATATGTATGTATAGTGTACGTGCAAGGATCGGATAAAAAATTATTACAATTACAACATGGTCATATTACAATCACGATTTTCACTGCTAGATGTCATCGATTAACAAGACGGAATATATTTATATAAATACACGCGCAAACCCATTATAAACGCATGCGATCATGAATCGTTACAATTTTATAACAATCACAAATTGTAACAAAGCGAAATTCCCACAAGCAAAACACCACGCTCACGTGACGAATTCTTAAAGAAACTGCAACACTCAAGTGACAGAACTCAACAAAAAAACGCCGCAAAAAAAACAACATCAATGGGCAAGTCTTAAAAACAGACAACACACGCACGTTAGCAGCTGTTAGAAGAAGACACCACCTAGCACCTTCAACTATACACATTATACAGCCAACTCGTAAATGGGGCGGTATATGACAGCCCTCGCTGCTGTCGACGGGGCCAAGCAGCGAGTGTTTAACTCCATTGTTTCAGAATCCGTGTCATCACACGGCCACAGCGCCTTACCCAAACTACATCTCCCCAACAAGGCAGCCTTCTCTATGCTGTGTATTTTAGCAGTTTATTTACGGACACACTTGAAGATAACAATTCGTCTAGAAAAGGCAGGCGACTTGTTCTACCAACATGATTTCAATTTATATCCGAAAGAAGTATGAGTTCATTTATGAGTAGTATTCACTAAGCACCGATGGCACTAACCTACACACAGCTATGATTAAACAAAGTAAACATTAGTCGCTCATCCCAGCTCAGACATGATCATAGCAATTATTTCCAAATTCGTGTCGGGTCCCACGAGAATAGGGCACGTTCACAAACTTTCAAATTGTAAACTCACAGAGCATACTCTAACATTATAAACTCTAACAATATAACCTTTAAACTATGAGCTATACATTGTAACGCTTTAAAATAACACTACAAACTAGTGTTCTAGTAAACTATAATGTTTTGAACTATAACAATATAAGCTATGAGCTATACACTATAACGCTATAAAATAACAATAAACTAGTGTTACAGATTAGAACACCGAACATTGAAGTGTGATATTCGAATTCTTAGCTTCACACCGTGGTCCTATAAGAATCACACTATGCTCGTGAGTATGTAACATGTCTGTATGTAATATGCATGAATGTAATATGTCTGTATGTAACATGTATGCATGTAACATGTATGTATGTAACATGTTACATACATGCATGTAACATGCATGCATGTAACATGTATGTATGTAATATGGACGTGCGAACCAAGGGTGGGATATGTGAAACGGAAGGTGCAGGATCAGGATGGGATTAAAATTGTTTGAATAACACTTTTGTGGTATTAGGATCAAGCTGTCCACTGCTGGGTGAATGTTCTATCTCAATGGCATCAAATAGCAATATTCAGTATGTAAATATAGAATTATCTTACAAACCCAACATAAGCCCGTGCAATTATGATTCGTTACAATTGGAACGACTCGTTTGATAAGAGTATTTGATCAAAGTTTGTTATCCTATCACGGAACACCACTGAAACTTAAGCAGCAACAGTACCAGCAACAACAGTACCAGCAACAACAGCAGCAACTGCAGCAGCAGCAACTGCAGCAGCAGCAACTGCAGCAATTGCAACAGCAGCAACTGCAGCAGCAGCAACTGCAGCAGCAGCAACTGCAGCAACTGCAGCAGCAGCAACAACAACATCACCTTCAGAAATGCTGCGTCCCGCGGCACCATCCAGGTGAGGAAATGAAGAGCAGAGCCCGAATCGACGGCCGCCACCCGAACATCAGCAGCTGTTGATAGCGTGATTCTAATAGGACCACGTTGTTATGAAACTCATTTTGATGCTATTCTAAACCGAGCACCTCCCAGTTTGCATTTACGACTCCCAATGCGCATCTACATATAACATACACTCTAGCTCAGTGTAATTATAATACTACCATAGTGTTATTCTAATAATTTTCATCCGATTCCTAATCCTGCACGCCCAGTTCGCATATCCGACCCCCCCGCTTCGCAAGTCCAAATGGCATGCATACACATTACATACATACGGGCAAAGTTCACATGCCCGTCCACTATTACTTCCTGTTAGTAGCTCAGCTTATTGGAGAGTATATTTAGTATATTGATAATATTGATGTAGGTTATAGTTTAGTTTTTTACGTGGTGGTATGGCTGCTGCAGCTCCTTATAATTAAAATTCCTTCCCTTTATTACTGCTAACCCCACTTCCTCCCTTTGTTCCTGCTAATCCTACATAATGCACGGGCATAATATGACTTTGAGATTCCCCCACCTCCTACGCATTCCACAAGTAGTGACTAATCCCATATCTGCATTTCCCATAAATATTCTAATTTCATCTGTTGATATGCAAATTCCCTTGTCAAGGCGCCCTTCCCCCTGCAGCTTAAATATACGCTGCCAAGCTTGGTGGTGTTCATTCAGACGCTGTCTTTCCGACAGCCCTGTTCTTCACCTGAGGACGGTTGCCTGCGTTGTGGCCGAAACGTCGTGATAATTTTTTTATTCTGTTTTATTTGTATTATTTTATTATTTCCCTTCTACGTTATTTTACCGAAAGAACCAAGAAGATAACCTACACACAGTTATGGTTAAACAAAGTAGTATTTAGTCACTTAATTCTCAGTTCAGACGTGATCATCGCAATCATTTCCAGCCTGGCCACATACAGCCGGGAAGCAGAAGCAGCAGAATCAAAAGTAGCTGCGTCGCCCTCGAAATGTGATGTTGCTGCTTCTGTTGCTGTTATATACGCAGAGAGGTGGTGTTCCATGATGGGATTACGCCTTTGATCAAAGACTCTGATCAAACTTACCCTATTGACGCCTTTGATCATCGCATTTGATCAACTCTGATAGTTGTAGGCTCTCACATGTTAAGCTCTAACATAGTGAAACATAATATTATAACCTATGAACGCTGTAAAATCCTTTTAACTGTTATAGTGGGATTATAATCGAATAAGAATAATTAGAATCGCACTATGCTCAAATTAAAATCACACTGGTGTCTTATGTATGGTAAGTGAATATGCAAACCGGGTATAGGATATGCAGGATTAGAATCGAACTACAATTATTCGAATCCCACTATTCTAATGATATTATAATACCTTGCCTCCGTGAATATGGTTATACGTTTATAATCGTTAAATGTTTAGTGTTATCGTTTTTAGTATTACAGTTTACTTGTTATAGAGTACAGTTTATCCCCGACATACTTCGGGATTAGGGACTGGTACGTTGATGAACGATTAACTACGGGGACCTTTCCCCTCAAGGAACACGTGTTAATCGGGTAGACAGCCAAGATGCTGCAGGTTAAGGGCACACTTGTGTGACGGAGATCCTCCACCTGAAATTCTCTGAACATGTTTTTGCTAGGAACATTATACAATAAAGAACTGACAAACATTTGTTAAAATACGTTTTTATTCATCTGCAATAATTTTACGTCAAAACTCGAAGGCAATATTTATTACGTTCCTATGTACACACATTTCCAGTAGAATGCGAACCATTTCCGTTCCAGGAATACCAAAGCGTTAAAGTTTCATTCCCCATGATTTCCTTATTAGTTCACCACATTTGTTCACTGTGCGTCTTTGTTGAAGTCAAGGCCATATATCCAACGAACGCGTCATCAATGTACATCCTGACATCGGCTATCTAAAGTCGATTAATACCAATCAAAAAAAGCTATATACTTGAAAAAAAACGTTTAAAATGTTGAGTAAAGATGTACCTACAGAGGCATTTCAACTATAGCTCAACAGGGACACTTAACGACTACAATTGAACCCTCTCACAGCCAGTGCTCTTCACACCAATTCGGCAAGTAATCCGATAACATTACAAACCACCACTGTGCACGTAATTAAACTCTCACAAAAACTGTAAAACTAAAATGGTCAAAATTACACACAAAAGTACTCGAAACGGCTTAATAGGTATAACCACATAACGTAATATTTTTTCAGTCACCCCTAGC